AGTGAATGTGTGTGTGTGTGGGAGAGAGAGAGAGAGGTTGGGTCTATATGAAAACCTGATGTCTCTCACCCGTTTACAGAAAACACTGAGTTTTAGTTGGAAGTCAACATCTGGACGTCCTGAGACGGCTGCTTCTGATTGGACGAGGTCTCAGGACCTGTGAGGTCACAAAGAGCTCACTTTCTGTTAACGAAGGACTGGAGACAATAATGGGACAACGAAAAGTGTGGACATTAACGAGGGACATCAGAGCTTGATGAGGAACAGGAGACTAACGAGAAATCAAAGAGTCAAAGAGTTCTTCAGAGGGACAGAGAACTTTAATAAGGAACATTAGACCTTAATGAGAGACGGGACGTTAACGAGGTCAGAGGACAGAAGAACTTCAGTGAGCTTTAATGAGAGACATCAAACATGATCATGGATCAAAGAGTCTGGTTCTTCAGAGGGACACAGAAGTCTGATGAGGGACTTGAGACCTTAATGAGAGACAAGGGATGTTGATGAGGGACAGGACTCGTCTTTGATTGGACAGCCTTTGAATTACTCCCTGATTGGATGATCTGAATTGTGATCGGTCGGCATGTTGCAGTCTGTGGCTGAGCTCTGATTGGATGGTAATGTCTGACGGTGGGCTGTGATTGCTTGGAGATGTTTGGTAATGTAAAGAAAATGATTTCGGGGCGACAGCAGCTGTCTTCTCCATTCTCTGATCCTGCCCCCCATCCTCGCCCTCAGCGGCGTCCTCTGTCGACCCCACCCCTCCCTCTCAGGACTCTGCAGCTTTTTGCTAAGCAACCAGAGACAACTGTTGTGTTACGGGATCATAGAAAGGTCAGAGGTCACGGATCAGGTGTCAGGGACTCATGGCCAAGCACCAGGCCAACCCCACCCTCCAGGACTTGGCCAATCACTGAGGTCCAGGCCAGAAGCAGCAAGCAATCACGACCTCAGATGACCCCATCGGCCCCGTCTCTTCCCCAGTCCCCATCCCAAAATCACCTGCTGCCCGCCAGTCCTCACCCTCATTGGTCAGTTCCTGTTAGAGCTCTGCCTAGCGGGCGGGGCTCTGAGGCCACCATGATGTCACTGCTGCTGTTCTGTCACAGGTAACCAAGGCACGAAAATAGAGGGGGCAGGACCTCCGTTCCAGGTGAACTCACATTCACCTGGAGAGACAGATGTCGACACATCTTAGAAAACAGCTTATTGATCAGCAGCTGAAATGATTAATAAAGTATTGACTAACGAGCCATTGACATGTCACACAGGATTTGTGTTGTTGCTTGTGATTTGAGCTGTGGCTTTTGTATTTGTGCTGTGGCTTTGAATTTGTGTTGTTGCCGTTGTATTTGTGTTGTGGCTTTTGTATTTGTGTTGATGCTTTTGTATTTGTGTTGATGCTTTTGTATTTGTGCTGTGACTTTTGTATTTGTGTTGATGCTTTTGTATTTGTGTTGATGCTTTTGTATTTGTGCTGTGACTTTTGTATTTGTGCTGTGGCTTTTGTATTAGTATTGTCGCCTTTGTATTTATGCTTTGACTTTTGTATTTGTGTTGTGGCTTTTGTATTTGTGTTGAAGCTTCTGGGCCACCATAGGTTTTAGTGAACCAGATCATTTGGTAATGGCAGCTCATGTTGTATTACTCATGGTTTTTATAATTCAGTGTGCAGTTAGTGTAATTACACTAAACAATGATCATTTCAAGAAAACCGTGAGCTTACATTATGTTTGGTATAAAATCTATTACACCTGTGTACTGAATGTTTTACTACCCCACCTGTCTGTCTCTCACCTGTCTGTCTCTCTGTCTCTACAGTACCTCCAGTAACAGTCTGGTCGCAATTGATAACAAAATCGAGCAGGCCATGGTAAGTTTGATTTCTACTGTGACTCTACTGCAGTGTAACAGATTCTACTGTGATTCTACTATTAACTGTTTAATGTCCAGAAACTGAAACACAAAAATGAATTATCATTCATTTATTCTAATCATGTCATGTGATGTAATTTATTAGTCCCTGTTCTTCATCTTCTTCTGGCTGTTGAATGTTTTTATTGGTGTTTTATTGATCATTGATCAGTTTGTTTGAATCCTCTGACTGTGAGTCAAGGTGGTGTGATGGCGCCCTCTGCTGGCTGAGGAAACACACTGATCTGTGTATATGTGTGTGAGTGTGTGTGCGTGCGTGTGTCTGTGTATGTGTGTGTGAGTGTGTGCGTGTGTCTGTGTGTGTGTGTGTATGTGTGTGTATGCGTGTGTCTGTGTGTGTGTGTGTGTGTGTGTGTGTGTGCGTCTGTGTGTGTGTGTGTGTAGGACCTGGTAAAGAGTCACCTGATGCTGGCGGTCAGAGAGGAGGTGGAGCTTCTGAGGGAACAAATCAGAGAACTGCAGGAGAAAAACCAACAACTGGAGAGAGAGAACCACATCCTGAGAACACTGACGCACAACAAGCACACAACATAACACACAACAAACACACAACATAACGCACAACAAGCACACAACAAACACACAACAAACACATAACATAACACACAACAAACATACAACATAACAGCCAACAAACACACAACATAACAGCCAACAAACACACAACATAACTCACAACATAACACACAACAAACACACAACATAACACACAACATAACACACAACAAACACACAACATAACACAAAACATAACACACAACAAACACACAACGAACACATAACACACAACAAACACACAACAAACACACAAACACACAACATAACAGCCAACAAACACACAACATAACACACAACAAACACACTTGTCCTCTGAGACTTGGACCAGACTGAGGTCCCTGTGGTATCTGGACCCAGACCAGAACCAGTACAGTCCACAGAGGCTGGACCAGGTTCAGGTCGGTGGCAGGTGTCTAACTGAGGTGCGCTCGTCTTCTGTACCTGAGCACCCAGGTGATAAACCCCCCCACAGACCATTGCCCCCTAACAGGCTGATAATCGACTAATGAGGACCCTTGTAACCATGACAACAAGAATCCTTAGTTGGTTTGATTTGTTCTGTGTGATGAAGATGTTGATGAATGTGATGATGAAGAGTAATAAATTAATCATGTCTAACTGAAGAACAGACGGATGGTGTTTGTTTGGGTTGCACTGATGATGATGATGATTTGATGATGATCATGATGATGGTGATGAAGATGATGATGAATATAGTGATGACGATGATGAAGATGATGGCGATGAAGATGATGATGATGATGATGATGAAGATGGTGATGATAATGATGGTGATGATGATGAAGATGGTGATGAAGATGGTGATGATGATAATGAAGATGGTGATGATGGTGATGAAGAAGGTGATGATGATGATGAAGGTTATGAAGAAGATGATGATGAAGATGACACGTCAATCAAACAGGAGGAAGTACTTTATTTGTTGGGGACTATTTTCAGCAGCAGATTAATCCACGCTTGGTGCTGTGGTGATTTAGTGGCAGCAGGACAGTGTGTGTTCATAGTGACAGTGGCCCTATGCATGCTAGGAGACGCAGTGCATGCTGGGAGACATCGTTTGGAGAGATCAGCAGGATAAAGATGGAGAGAAAATAAAAACAAAAACACGAGAGGAATCACTTTAATCCTTAATCCATCAAACCCCGCTGCCTCCACACACAAACAGACACTCACGCACGAACACACACAGACACTCACGCACACACACACACACACACACACACACACACACACACACACACACACACACACACACACACACACACACTGGTGGTAAACAAAGAGAATGTGAAAAACAAAAGCAGGATTAAGATGAACTGTGTCACTGTGTGGTATTAGTATGTATCCTGAATCCTGCTCTCTGATTGGCTGGCAGACGTTAAACTACAGGTAACCATAGCAGAACCACGACAAGAAACAGGACCAGAACCAGAGCCAGGACCATGACCAGAACCAGAACCCAGGAACCTCTTTTAGGACTGTGGAGCAGATCAGGGATGATAATGGACTCTCAGGTGTTTTGGTTGGTTACCTGTGTAACAGTGAGCTGTGCACCTTGATGATGTCATCATCAGTATGTTTGAGTGTACCTGTCCTTTAACCTGCAGCTGGTCTGACAGAGATAGTGTGTGTGAGCAGAGGTCTCACTCTGAGGTCAGAACGATGTCAGTGTGGTGTTACTGATACTGACTTGGCCATGGTAACAGCGACAGCATGATGTTCTAATAGTGTTGACGAGCGGTTCTACTCTGCCTCAGAATGACCTTAACCTGGCCAATCCAACCAGCGAAGGCAACAATCAAAAACCAATCAGAGGCAATGTGGGGCAGGTCATGTCAACTCTAAGGTAGGGTTTGTAAGTTTACATCTGGCTGCTGAAGCATTGATAGCTAATGGAAGGAAAAAATCACAACAGAGGAAAAGCGTATTGCATGTATTAGATTTTTGTTTTAGCAAACCACCAGTTAAAGAGAACAGCGATTACGTCCAACCTTCCCAGGAGAGCAGCTCCACATCGTTTTCGGTTGGTTGTAACTTTCCCTCAAAGATTGTCGCCACCGGCAGCCACCAGAGTATCCGCTTTAGCACCGCTACCACCAAGGAGCTAGCTGCTAACAGGTGTCAAGCTAGTGCTGAAATGGTGGCATTTGAGGAGCCTCTCTGAGTTCTGTTAACAGAAGCTTAAAAACTCATAGATGTCTATACCTGTCCATCTCCATGACCTCACCTGAGCGGACCTCCTCCTCAGTGCACCGTGTGAAAACATGGCTACAACACCATGACCCAGAAGAGACTGACTTACCTCTCCCTGATACATGTCCAGTCTGACATGTCGAACTCATTGGACATCCACGCCCCGGTTGAAAGACTTTCCACAACACCTGAGCGCAAGACCACATCGGATTATTCCAACTACTGGAGCACCTGTCCTGCAGCTCAAGGTGAAATGTTTAGTTTAAGATGCTGTCGAGCAGTTTAATATTAAGCTGTCAATTACTTTTAACATCACAGGGATTTACCTTTATTCAAATAATGCGTATTTGGATATTGTCTTGTGTGCTGTGTGCAATGGGCTTTTGGACCTGTGTATTACAATGTTACAGCATTACTCAGTCTGTTTCATAGACATGGCTGTTGTTACTGCTGCTGCTGTTTTGCGTGTGTTGTAGTATTGTTGTAGACCTCTGTTGTATCATGGGTTGTGGTAAAATGCTCCTCCCTCTACAGCACCGCCAACTTAAATCATCTTCCTGCGGCCCTGGATAAAGAAGTATTTGTACACAGACTATCACTACCTTTAACTGTATAATAAAGTATTTGTATACAGAGTATCACTACCTTAGTAGTACAGCTACATGAACTACTGCAGTACACCGTGAATCTGATGTATTATTATGACAAACCGCGGGAAATTCTCAGGAACCTCAGAAACCGAAGCAGAGTGAGACCTCCTATCTGTGCCGCTCTCTGTGTGAGGCTGCTGGCCCTTTAAGAGAGGAAGAGGACAGGAAGAGCCGACACCTAACCCCCTCCTCCCTTTTCACTCCCCCGACACCCCCACCCCCCCCCCCCCTCCTCCAGCACATTGTTCTGTGGCTCCCGGTGAGAAACGGCTTCTCTCCCGCTGCTGCAGCTGCGGATACCGGCTACAGGAACCGACAGACCGGCGGTCAGATAGACAGACAGACAGGCAGGTAGACAGACAAACAGACAGACAAGTCTCCCGTTAGCAGTGACGGTTTATTTGGGACTGTGTCTCTTTGTGTCGGACAGAAACATTGAGGGGCGGTGACTGATGGATCCACCGGTTTAAACGTGACCGGAGACAAAGACGCTAGAGGACAGAGAGAGAGAGAGAGAGAGACAGACAGACAGACAGACAGACAGACAGACAGACAGACAGACAGACAGACAGACAGACAGACAGACAGAAAGAGGGACAAACCGACGCTATGACTGGAGGCAGGCGCAGCTGGACCGGCAGCCTCGAGCTCAGGTGAGTGACACTGACAGAACAAAGAGTCTCTGTGATGCTCTCGCTGCCGTTGTCATGGCAACCATATTTTAGTCTGAGGTCATGAGGAGAGGGGACAAGAAGAGGAGACAGGATTAGGAAGAGATGAGGAGAAGAGAGGAGACGAGGAGAGGAGGAGAGGAGACAAGGCGAGGAGAAGGATAAACTGCTGATAAAGGTTCAGTCCGTAAATTCCTGTTTATAAAGTTAAATGATTGTTGTATTGATCAGTTAATATTCAGTTAATTAATAATAATCTATACAGTACAGTTTACAGTGGTGAGTCAAGTACTCAGATCTGGTTGTGGTAAAAGTACTGCATTACTACAGTGTATCTGAATATATGAATGAAGTATAGTACTGCAGTACAATAAATACTTTGATAATTCTCTGCACTACACATGTCAGACAGTCAGTCACTCAAACAGTCAATCAGTCAGTCAGTCAGTCGTCAGTCAGTCAGTCATCAGACAGTCAGTCAATCAGTCAGACAGTCAGTCAGTCAGTCAGTCAGTCATCAGACAGTCAGTCAGTCAGTCAGTCATCAGTCAGTCAATCAGTCACTCAAACAGTCAGTCAGTCATCAGACAGTCAGTCAATCAGTCAGACAGACAGACAGACAGCCAGTCAATCAGTCATCATTGGCTTGGCATGGCTTCACTCTGCTCAGGACACCATTGTTGTTTAAAATGTCTTCTAACCTTGAAGACACGTCTCTTATTTTGTTGATAAACCTTAATTTGAATTTTCATCTTTTATTTTCTGTCTGTTCAACGTGACATTAATCCAGCTTCAACATGACCGACTGCTCCTTTAAATCAGCAGGTCAACAGGAAAATAAGTCTGAAGGAAACCCCCCCATTACACAGGAAACACACAGCACTATGTTACCGTGTGTGTGTGTGTGTGTGTGTGTGTGTGTGTGAGAGAGAGAGAGTGTGCGTCTTTCTTTGTTTGACGCTTCATTGAAAAAACACAAAGACAATATGAGACATGAACGATGTGAAGAGATTTAAACAGAAACAAAAACATGAAAAGTAAAAAACTAACAAATCAACATTTTGTCGAATGATCCTGAATTTCATGTCATAAAGTCACATGATCATTTGACGTGTTGCAGCATTTCACATGTGATTAACTGTGACATGTTTAGAAAACAACATGTTGTTACATATGAAGTTCACATGTGCTGAAATGTGTCTCACAGTCACATCATGAGACAGACATGAAACAGAAATTAAAATGTTATATTTCACATGTGAAATTAAAAAGCTTTATTTTGAAACTCTGGGGTTGTAGTGTGGCTGGACAGAAGAGAGACATTTGAAAACGATGATGTAGACTCTCCTGATCACCCCCTGATTGATCTTATCAGTCCAGAAGAGTTAAACAGGGCTAGAAGAGTGAAACGGGACTGGAAGAGTTAAACGGGACCAGAAGAGTTAAACTGGACTGGAAAGGTAAACGGGACT